CCCCGCCCAGACCCCCCCCCCCCCCCCTCCCCCCTGGGGTCAAGGACTTTGGAAGACGCCGACGCCTGGGATCGCCATGGTGGCTAGCATTCCAAGACAGAGGTCGGGATCAGCGGCCTGTGCGTCTCTTACACCCCATTCACAATATTCTGTAGTGGGTGACTATGGTTTCTGTGCATTCACGGGCGTTTGTTTCCCAGGTGTTGCCATTGCTTCCTTTGCTGGGTCTGCGCGCATGACAAATGCAGGAAAGTCGCACATGTAGCAAAATCTGCTACATGCATCCCGTGTTTATTTCCCACGCCACATTTGGGTTTCCATTAACATGCAGTTTGGTGCGCGTTCACGGAATGCTTAGGTGTGAACGGGGACTCGTTTCTGTGAGTACAAAAACGCCTTTAAAAAAAAAGGGGGAAAGCGGTCAAAAGGCCCAGAAACGCATGGCGGGTGGGCCACACCGCCTTGACCAGGGAAGGAGGACACGCACGCAGGCCCGGCGGGGAGAGGGGGGGGGGACAGACAATGAAGAATGTAGTTTGAGGAAAGAGCGGAATGATAAAAGGGGAGCTTCAGATAAATGAACTGAGGACAAGGGAGGGCGAGTGATTGAAGATGGGGGAAGATGGATGGACAGAAGGGGGCTGGATGGATTAGACAAGTTGTGAAGATGGATGCCGGCCGCGGGATTCATTACCCTGGCTGTTTTCTGGGTGTTTATGCAGCTGACAGAGACTAAGGAGCAGGAAATAAATGGCACCTCGCTCTTCCGTCTTTTCGGAAAAGGCTTTGAAGGTGCCCCGCGTTGCCAGCGTCCATCCGCCACCCCAACCCTGGTTATTAATGGTATTCTTCCACCCTCCTGACAGCGTGACCAAATGGATAGCGAATCCGTCCTCGGGCCTAGCCCGGTGCAAGGACTGTTCAAGGAGACCGCGTCGGCTCACACCCTTGGGCGCCAACTGGCCTGTGGAGGTGTGGCGAGAAAGATCCCATCCCGAACCGATCCAAAAACCGCTTTCCAAAAGCCCAGCCTAGCACGGGGTGACACAAACCCGATCTCGATCGATCGGCAAAAACCAAGGCAGCGATTGAGAAGCAACTGTGGTCGGTTGCTAAGGGCGACCGCTTCTCATTTCCTGGCGGGCTTTACGCAGCACTGTTCTCCCCGCTGTTAACGCTCAATCTTCCATTGCATTTTAAAAACAGGACTGGTTGCTACTGGCAACAAGAACAATTCTGACTCTGGCACGTCGGCGTGAGGCCCGATTTCAAAGAAAAGTTTTCGTTGGCCAGTTGGGATTCTCACCTTCACTTTCCAGCGTTGTGCTGGGAATGCGAGCAAGGCAGTTTACTGGTTGCTATGGGCAAACAGACCGCCATGTCCTCCAGGCTTATAAATAAGGCCCGGTGTGTCTTTATAGTGTTGGAACTACACTCTCCTATCCCTTACAGCCAAGGAAGACGCCATCTTAGCCTCTGTTTGGATTGCGGTTGCCATGGCGCTGCACGGGTGACCATATGACACCAGCCATTTGAGGGATTAAAGATTTGGCTGACAGACTTGACATTTGATACACCTCAAAAATAACAGTTTTGGGAGACCATTGTTTTGGTGGGTAAACTTCCACTTTAAGGCCTTGTTGCCCCTAGCAACCGGCCTAGCGATCCCTTCCATCTTGCCATACAGGACTGGAAATAAGAATTTAAGAATCTGATTGGTTGCTATGGGAATTCAAAGCCCATTCTATCATGAGGGCCCATTCTATCACGAGGGCCCAAGTCCGGTTCTTTAACCCCCAATCCAATACAGTGCGGCGGCATTGGCGGCCACCAAAATAAAAAAATAACCCCATATATAGAACGCACAAGCACACCAAGTCATGCCGCTTCCCAGAATATGGATGGCGGGACGGTGAGAGTCTAATTTTAACTCCATGAGTGTTTGATGGCGCTGGAAATCGGCTGCAATGATTCAGCCGCGAGCTGGCAGGACCTACAGAGGAACAGAACAGATTTCCAAGCATACGCAGAGAGGAGACGTGGTGACAAATTGGCCTTGCGGCATGCAAATATGTTTTTAATTTAAAAGGCAATCAATAGCACTGTGCAATCCATTTAATGGGATGGCGGGTTCGTGGACCCCCCTTCCCCTCCCCCTCTCTGCTCGCCTGTGAAGTATTTTTTTTGTCTTTCAATCCGCTGTTAACCTCTTTACTGCAGAACCTTACCAAAGTAGATTTAGGCTTCGGCCATGCTGTAGAGGAGACGTTTACATGTTTCTAGTAACAAATCCTGCTCCTTGCATTTGCTCTGAGGGCTTTGTTAGGCCTGGGACCGTAAATGGAAGTAGCAAGGCCGACATGAACCGGCTGTTAAGGAAACGGTGCTACAATGTTTCAGGAGTTACTTGCAGGAAGGCCCCTCTACTAATAGCCAGTCCCCGGCGTGGCTGATAAGGGTTCAGACCTTTACACAGCCCTCACCCCTCCAATGGAGCGCAATAGGCTGAGGGGCTCCCCTGTATAGAGCTGGAAGTCTTTAACGCTACTTATGCTTGCACAGGAGTCTTGGGCCGTATTGATAGCTAATCAAGACAGGAAGTGAGGGGGAAAGTCCCCAATATAGATAGAAAAAAACAAAAAAAACTTGCCAATGTCTACTCCAATAACATAACATAGGCAAACTGGGGTTTTTTTCAACATTTTTGGTACTTTTTTATTCGTTTTTTTTCTATCAGTGATGAAAAAATACCCCCAAAAGAAAGCTCTATCTCTCCAAAAAAAATTATATGGCGTTGCATGGCTGAATAAATGTCAAAGTACCTCAGCGCTGAATCCTGAAAAAATGGCCTAACTAGGAAGGGGTTTAAGTGAAACTACACCCTCCTATCTTTTACAGCCAAGGAAGACGCCATCTTAGCCTCTGTTTGGATTGCGGTTGCCATGGCGCTGCACGGGTGACCATATGACACCAGCCATTTGAGGGATTAAAGATTTGGCTGACAGACTTGACATTTGATACACCTCAAAAATAACAGTTTTGGGAGACCATTGTTTTGGTGGGTAAACTTCCACTTTAAGGCCTTGTTGCCCCTAGCAACCGGCCTAGCGATCCCTTCCATCTTGCCATACAGGACTGGAAATAAGAATTTAAGAATCTGATTGGTTGCTATGGGAATTCAAAGCCCATTCTATCATGAGGGCCCATTCTATCACGAGGGCCCAAGTCCGGTTCTTTAACCCCCAATCCAATACAGTGCGGCGGCATTGGCGGCCACCAAAATAAAAAAATAACCCCATATATAGAACGCACAAGCACACCAAGTCATGCCGCTTCCCAGAATATGGATGGCGGGACGGTGAGAGTCTAATTTTAACTCCATGAGTGTTTGATGGCGCTGGAAATCGGCTGCAATGATTCAGCCGCGAGCTGGCAGGACCTACAGAGGAACAGAACAGATTTCCAAGCATACGCAGAGAGGAGACGTGGTGACAAATTGGCCTTGCGGCATGCAAATATGTTTTTAATTTAAAAGGCAATCAATAGCACTGTGCAATCCATTTAATGGGATGGCGGGTTCGTGGACCCCCCTTCCCCTCCCCCTCTCTGCTCGCCTGTGAAGTATTTTTTTTGTCTTTCAATCCGCTGTTAACCTCTTTACTGCAGAACCTTACCAAAGTAGATTTAGGCTTCGGCCATGCTGTAGAGGAGACGTTTACATGTTTCTAGTAACAAATCCTGCTCCTTGCATTTGCTCTGAGGGCTTTGTTAGGCCTGGGACCGTAAATGGAAGTAGCAAGGCCGACATGAACCGGCTGTTAAGGAAACGGTGCTACAATGTTTCAGGAGTTACTTGCAGGAAGGCCCCTCTACTAATAGCCAGTCCCCGGCGTGGCTGATAAGGGTTCAGACCTTTACACAGCCCTCACCCCTCCAATGGAGCGCAATAGGCTGAGGGGCTCCCCTGTATAGAGCTGGAAGTCTTTAACGCTACTTATGCTTGCACAGGAGTCTTGGGCCGTATTGATAGCTAATCAAGACAGGAAGTGAGGGGGAAAGTCCCCAATATAGATAGAAAAAAACAAAAAAAACTTGCCAATGTCTACTCCAGGGGTAGCAACCCTGACACTCCAGCTGCGATAAAAGTCCCATCATGCCTCTGGAAGGCATGCTTGTGGCCGTCAGTGTCTTGCAATGCCTCATGGGACTTGTAGTTGCACAACAGCTGGGAGTACCGAGGTTTCCTACCCTGCTCTACTACAAAGGTGATATTTTTAGTGTCCCGTTAGGGAGATTTCCCATCACTTCCTGTGCGGACAGGAAGTGTAAGAGAAAGTCCCCGATACGGACTTTGGCAATAAAAACTTGCCAGATTCTCTAACCTTTCCTTCACCCCCTCTGTATCTAAAATGAAATAAAACTCTTTGGCTTGAGTTGGGCTTTATTGGCCCCGCCATATTAAATATGGGGTACCTACCTGGTTCCAGTGATTTGGGATAGTCTCTGGGGGGTTGCCCCTCTCCCCTCCTGTCTTCTCCCTCTTTCCCTTTGGAGCTTTGAACGGGCACGGGACTGACAGCCGGAGAGCTGGGCACCAAGGCAGAGCTGCCGTCTGGGCCGGCTGGTAAAGTGCATGGGGCCAGTGGCCGGGGCGTCGGGCATTTGGACGGAGGCCGTAGGATGGGCGAGTGGGAGCAAGGCGACAGCTTGGGCGGTGCCGGGGCGGAAGGGGGTGGCAGTAGCAGGCTGGGAGGAGTCTTTGAAGCGTTTAAGGCGTCTGCTTTACTGTGCTGCTTCATGGCCTTTTCCGGATGGTCTTCTGACTCTGGCAGATGGTCTTCAGGCTTCCGCTGAAGAGAAGAAGAAGAACAGAAGTTGGAACAGTCCTCCCATACACTTCAATGGGTGGCAAGCGATGAACTCAACCTGACCTACCTGGAGGTGGCTTTGCCTCTGAAGTTCCAGAGCCTGCGCCGCCCTCTGTTGTTGCAGGGCATACAGTTCCTGTTGCCTTAAAAACTGCGATCGTGAGTAGACCGGGAGCTGTCCGGGGTGCTGGAGGTGCGAGGTGGGTGCTCTGCCAGGGTACATAGGCGGCCATAGAGACGCCTGATCCATGACATCAGCTGGGAACATCAAAATACAAAATAATTGTCACTTGGAGACTTTTTTATTTTACCAATACGCCCTTATTTTTAATTTCAGTTTAAAACTTTTCTCCAGATTATTGGTATCAAAATTGGACACTTATTTGTATAATTGGCTTACTTTAAATAATACAAAATTTGCATCTTTTGTGGCATCCCCACCCCTCCAATCATAAAAAGTGAAAAAATAAAACATTAAAACAAACACTCCCCTTACAACCTTGGCTTCCAACAAGCTCACCATGCCAAGAGCATGACATCACTGGGACCTTCTGTCAGGATCGAGGGAGAGCTGAGGAGCCCAAATGTCTTTAGAAGTCCCTCCCCCGCTGTGCTGGAATGACTTCTCTTGAGATTTGGGCTCTTCAGCTTTTCAAAAGGAACCCAGGAAAATGCCCAGTGATATCACCATCACCTCCAGGTAGTGTCCAGTAGCTGGTGTGTAAAAATTAGTATTTTTTTTACATTTTTATTCAGTTTTTTTCTTTTCGTTAGCCTTCCTCCTGGGAGTGGGGTCTTCCCAAAAAAGGTGGATATTGCCGTTTCATTTTAATAAAAAGCAAATTCTATTATTAATAGTAAGTTAAAAAAAAAAAAAAGGGACAACCATATTTGTGCCGATACAGACTGTCTGCTGCTTAGAAATGCTGCACATTAACCGCGCACTTTACTGTTCCTCCCTATACAACCACAAAGGAGGTTTATCCTGTTATCTCAGCAGTTTTTTTTGTTACACAAGCTGATAACCACATGAGGAAGAATCTCCACATGCGGGTGTGGAATATCCTAACAGACTCTGGAACAGGACGAACGAAAATACAGGAGTCACATGAAAAATTAGCTTACAAAGTGTATCTAAACCCAAAAATAGAAAAAAAAAAATGATGAACGATTTGGCCAGTTCGTCTGCCCGCTGAAGCTCCATCTGTGTCCTAGCAACCAATGACACCGTGCGTGAAGCAACAATGACTGACTGGTGGCAGAGCCGCAAAGCATCAGTAATAAGGACATGGCTGGCTCACCATAACAACCTAGGATGCTGGTGGCCCCACAGCCTTATTGGTTGTTATGGTGCTCCCGTCTGCAAACCAGCAACCAATTATGCGGTTTGGCCCAAGAGCTAGCGTTCTGGCAAACAATGATGGTGCGCGGGTCATTGGTTGCTGGGATACAAGCAGCCCCAAGTTCGGGTTTTCTTTGGACGGATTTCTGGCTGGGTTAGGCGAATGTCCATGCAAGCCGAGCCCCAGCCAGTTCGCTCATCACTAATGGAGATGAACAAAGGCAGACATGTTTTTGACGAACCTTGCACCCTCCATAGATGTCATGGAGACATGAAGGAACAGGAAGTGTGTCATCTGCAGGAATACGGGGTAAAAATAATGAAAGCGAATGCAGGCACCATATATAAAGACCGGGAAGCTGCAATAGATCACATTTTTGTTTTTGGGGTTAGATACACTTTCACTCAAGATGCATGCCCCGTGAACACAACCCCCACCACTATACATACCGTTAAAAAGAAGAAAGGTGCTGCCACTTACCAAGGGAGTGCGGAGCAGGATGGGGAGAGGGCTCTGGAGGTAGTATTACCAGCTGGGCGGGAGGTTCTTGCGACAGGGGGAACACTGGTTGCATGGCACTAGACATGGAAGGGGGAAATCCAGGGGGCAGATTCTGGTGCAGAGCAGGGTGACTAATACCTGGGGGGACACATCAATTACAGTTTAAATAAATACCTCGGAGTACAGTTTTTCATTAAGCCCTTGTAAAATCAAGAGCGGATAACAATGTTCAATAAACCAAAAGGCAAGGAGCTATGGCCGTTGTGTCTGTACAAGAGCCAACCTGGCCTCTTCAAAGGGGTTGTTCATGTAGCCTTCAGTGCAAAAGGATGAACGGTAAGGGCTGAGCTTCAAAGCAGTGTTTGTGAAACCAACGTACCCATCAGTCCCTACCCATCAGTCATTGGGTTTATTTCCCACCAGCTCCATTTTAGAGCATGATACAATGTAACAGAAGCAAGGTGGGGGATTATAAAGCTATAGAGACACAATGCAGCCTATGGGCCAGCCTGCGCCA